AAGTTTTGTAAAGTTATTATACATTTATTTTTATGAAACATCTTCATGAAAATAAAATTGAAGTTGGCATTGTAGCAATCTAGAAATGCACTGCAGCTAAAGCCACATGTCTGGCCATGTTATATTTAAAATTTGAAGATGATAAGTCTAAAACTCTGTATTTAGTTCAATGTTTTTCAAGATCATGTCATATGACTTTATTTTGATTAGACTGGTGTTTATTGTTTTCTTATAAGCATCTATTCAGTCTATTGCCTCTATTGTTTTGTGATGCAAAAACGAGCCCCATTCAGTCTCAGTCTCCCCTGCACATATTCACACCTCTCCAGCCAGTTTATTGCTCTAAATATGCTTTTCTTTTGTCTGCATTATAATCACTAACGACTAGCAATTCACACTGTTTCAATCCCTCATTTATTTTATAAAAGTTCTCACTTCACAGTGAAACTGTATCAAATGCCCTTTTTGAAAAACGAAACATTTCAGTAAGCATTCTTATTTAGAAAAAAATCATAAAAATTACACCGAAGTAAGGTAGCAGGTGCTCAGTACTAGCTAGCATGTTAGCTTAGCACACCATCAATACACGACAATTTATGAGAATAAAACTATGTTTGTTCTCCAAACTTACTTTATAGCGCAAGTCGAGTGTTTTAAATAACTTTCTGTAATCTGATTTGGCTTCAGATAAAAAAATCAGATAGAAAATATATTATTTTATTGTATTCTGCACAATTTGAAAGTCTATCTCGATTAGCATTACATTATACATATAATCAATTATTATGAAAATACCTGACATGACTCGAAGAACACAGGTAAATCAAATATCATTGCAATCATGTTTATTGTCTTCAAAACATCTTTATCTGCACTTTACAGCGATCTCGGATAGCTTTGTTGTGGCAGGACTTCCTGAATGTCACATGATTATGGCTCTTCTTCATGTGATCCATATATTATGGACTTCTGTTCAAACAGCGCCCTCACTTTCAGGATGAATTGATAACACAGTACAGAGTATACAGCGCTCAAAATGATTACATCGACGCATTTGGGTATAAATTCAATAAATATTATTCCTGTCTATAGAAGTCTAATGTAAAGCTATGAGAATCTATCAATATTTCTCCAAATCTGCACATGTTTGAGCTAAAAGCCCTGAGGGACGTTGTTTTGTCAAGCGCTGTCATGACGATCGCACGGGAGTTTTTTTCTGAATGAGACCGGCTGAGGCTCATAATTCATATTAAAGGTAACGACTCATTTTTTAATTTCATAACTCCTGACACAAATTAAGACATAACTGTCACTATAAGTTTCTCAGAATACAATAGTGGTCAAATACTGAATCTTGAGTCTTATATCTTTTTAATGATGTATAGTTTGTCAAGGTATAACATTAAATCTGATAGTATATTTGAACTAAATAAATAAAAAAACGCTTCAGTGCGCCGACGCTCTGGAGACGGTTAAGAGGTTAAGGCACTTATCCCTACAGCATGGCAGCGTGAGTATTTTGTTTCCCATAGCGCCCTCTATGGGACGCAGCGCGTCAGGTTATGCATGTGGGAACGAGACGCTGTGTCCCTTTGCCATGCTTCAGGTATTTCGGCACACGTCTCTTTTAGACAAGAAGTGGATGACATATTCCCCATAGCGCCCTCGGGATGCAGCGTCTCGGTCCCCTTCTCAGGGAACCATGGTTACAACCTGAGACGTTTTTAATGGACGTGGAGTGGGTTAGCTAGGCTGTTAACACCTGCACTGTTTTTGTTTTACCCTTTCCCAGATTTTGTTGCTAACCCAGCTTCGTTGCATCATATGCATATATGTGCACTTAGTATGACTTTTACACCAAAAAGTGTCATAATTTAGAAATAAAAGGCATTTTTCCTACCCTGATTTTAGCCCTATGATTTGAACGCTCTGTTTTAAGGAATATGTCAGCTGTTAGACTTCAGTGTATATGCCCACTGCTGTGATTGGTTAACATCTTTGCATATGGAAATAGCCTGAATAGAGAACGTAGTTAGGCCTCCTCTCTTTTAGATTCATCCTGTTGAGGCCTTCTTGAGAAGCTCCGATCTATGACGATATTCCCTTAAAGGTGTTTGTAGGAATACCAAGCTCTTTTAGTTTGCCTGTAAGGAGTCTTATAGCTCGAACTCTGGCCCCAGGGAATTAATCGCAATGCTGGTGTGTACCTTAGGGATGGGGGACTCCATTGAGTCTTTGACTTTGTCAGCCATTAAGGCACTGATCCCTACAGCATGGCAGCGTGAGTATTTTGTTCCCCATAGTGCCCTCTAAGTATTACATGTGGAATTCTCTCAAAAACTTCTAGCACGTTTTTACTATTACAGTTCTCAAGGTTTACTAATCGTGAAAAGTGTTGATTATAGCATTATATTTAGATCTATACAATCATATTTTAGATCGTGGAATGAAAGGTTGCAGTGGATGAGCATTGTAGCCGATCACAGACATGTTGAGCACAATCTCGTCATTGTAACTCAATTTTTGCACACTAACAAATGCTTTCATCATAACCAGTGTTGTGTGTAACGCGTTACAAAGTAACGCGTTACAGTAACGTAACTACTTTTTCGGGTAAAAAGTAGTGTAACGCGTTACTACTGAAAATTTGGTAACGAAACGTAGTTCCTTTTTCAATTCCGCACGTTACTTTTCCCCATGGACAAATTTGACAGCAACACTGTCTCCTCAGCTGCGCGCTTGCAATAGTCACAAGCTCCACATGGTACGTGACAGAGGCTGGTAGCAGAGCAATCAATTCTGTGAATTACACTGCGCAAACCAAAAGTAATACTCCCACCGGATGAAGAAGGGTTGGCTCTCCACAGAACATAAAATATTAATTGTATTGAATTTTTCGTGTTCGCATTTATGAGGAAAGAAACAATGTTATGGACGTAACAGTTCTTCGGACTTGACCGCTCTGAAAGCGGCACTAAAAGACTGCTTTAAATCTTTCACAGAGACCTCAAACAGGCATTTAAAACACCAAATATTAAGGATTGGCATATCAAGCAAAATAATATTCGATGATTGCTCGAAAATCGTACCTCTACCCCCACATGCTTACAGTAAGACGGGGTTCGCTCAAATCCCGCTCCGATATTAAATTTCTCTGTATAGACTGCGTGTTGTAGCCTAGTCATTAAAGAAAACGATTTAGTTTCATATTTATGTTTAAATAAAATCATTTATTTTTTTATTTCATCAATGTTGATTAGGCTATATGAAAAGTGAAAAGCATGAGTAAGAGCATAAGATGCGCAATCGGGAGACAAATGGAGTGGGCAGACATGATTTTGACCACTTCATTAAGTTTGTTTTTGTAGAAAGCCTTTCTTTAAAGTGAATTTCGTTTTGTATTAATTGTATCTTAATTTTAATCAATGTTTCATCAACCAATTGTCTTTAATAAATAAGCAGTAAATATAGCAGGCAATATAATCAGGACTTCTCAGGAGCTCCGTGTCGGCGCGTGGACTGAGCTCGTCTCATAAATGAACCGAAACTTAGCGCAAGCTACTTGCCTCAAAGATCTGAGAAATATATAGAAAGCTTGAAATGTGTACTTTAAAACAAAACTATTCAAAACGAGAGAAAACAGACTCTCTGCTTATGTAATCCATATGAAATGTGCATTTCTCTCTGGCGCGTTCACTACTGTGAAGATCGCGAGTCAGCATCGTCAACTTTATCTTTGCAGCCGACACTGACTGACAAAGAAAACACTTGTTTATTAATAAACAATTGAAATGTCTCCTTGCTATATTTGATATTCGATATTCATAATCATTTCTTTTGCCGATTCTTTGTGACATTTTTCATGAACGCGTCACCACCGCTCAATAGTTAATATTGTGCTTTGGTGTTCAGTTTATACAGGTTTTTCAAATCTTATTTAAATAAATATTTTTTTTTCTATCTCAAAATCTCTCTTTTTTTTCTAGTTTTTTTTTCTAGTTTTTCAATAAGTAGAGTTCATAGTAGAATTTTATGTAGGCCTACACATTTAGGAACAGATTGGGTTCTGCCCAAAGTCAAGCAACATAAAAGTAACGTAAAAGTAACCAGTAACATAAAAAGTTACTTTCCAAAGGGGGTAACTAAGTAAAGTAACGGATTACTTTTTTAAGAAGTAACGAGTAACGAGAAAACACTACTTTTTAAAAGTAACTTCCCCAACACTGATCATAACTAACAGTGCAAACAAAATACAAATAAGAGATTTGTTGATTCTAAATGGAGTTTTGGTGAGAGTCCAGAACACTTGCGCTGTTTGATTGACAGTTCCAGCAATTGTAAAGGGAGCGTTCTTTGATCGCGTTCTATATATAATTTAATCACAGTATAAATAACAGATTATTTTCATCCTAAGAGAAACAATGTGAAGTTGACAGTTTAGTCACTGGTTTGATTTACTGACAATAAACAATTTTGAGACAAAAACATCTGACTGTAGGCCTACATGAATCATTACATATCAGAAATCACTGGTCACTGGTGATTTTGGTTAGACATGTACACATAATCCATACATCTCAAATGATCTGTAACAAAGCAATAGTGACAGTAAAAACTTTTTTACTCACACTCACATCTGTTATTTACCTACTACTACTTGTCGTGCTCGAATCAGTGGGCGGGGCTACTGAACTTTAGGGTTCGTGATGTCATCAACCCGGGATGAAGCTCGTTTGAGCCGTTTGATGTAGTCCTTAAAAAATGATTTCTGTAAAAGAAAATATTTCCATTTGCATTGAACTTTGAGGGTCGTAACTTTGCAGATGTTGTTTATGCTCAAACAACAACATTACACACTAACTAAAGTTAAAAAAGTGAAATCACAATCAAGGACCCCTTTAAAGAGTCTCTTTTTAAAGTTGCTTTTTGTGCTTGTAATGAGCCAAAATGTTGTTTATTTCATGTCGTTTATTTTCTTTTTTCCCAGGTAATACGTGCTTACAACTTAATTTAAATTAGTTTACATTTTAAGTCAACAATTCTCATACAAACACCTGATAAATACTGAAAAGGATTTGAGTACAGAACAAAGTTACAGTGTTTGCAGTGTTACAGTTATTATTAGTTAAATATTATTAAAATATTAATTTCACATACAAAAAATCCTTTAAAATAATATTAACTATGTTATGAATATATATAATCCATTGAAGAATTCACTTTTTTCTCCACCAGTTTTTTACAATCTTTTGTCTTATCTCTTTGGTTTGTAAACCATATACTAAGGGATTTAATCCTGGTGGTACAATGTGAAACATTATGCTTGCTAGTTTCCTGCTATCAGAGTATTCAGGAAAACGATGAAGTAAAATAAAAGTGACTCCAGAAACAAGCATGATTAAATAAACAGTTAAATGAGTGCTGCAGGTTTTTATGGCTTTGCTATTGAGTGCTTTGTTTTTGCTTCTTATACATAGAGTAGCAATTTTGACATATGTTATAAATATAGAAACTGCTGACAGGCAGGCTACAATTATGGTATAAACAACTCCAAAAACATTATTAATACTTACATTTTCACATGACAGTTTAAATAGTGAGGCATTGTCACAGAAAGGGTTTTCAATTTTATACCTACAGTGAGACAGACGCAAAGTAAGTCCTATCATAATTGTCACTAAAAGTATGGCCAGGCCCCAAGCAAATGCTGATAGTTTAATAACCATTTTATTGGTCATTATAGTATTGTATCGCAATGGATTACATATAGCCACATATCTGTCAAAGGCCATGATCATCAGCACATAGTGGCATGCTGCTGTAAATACATGCACAAAATAAGCTTGAATAACACACTCTGCATATGATATATAGCGCTCTGAGGTTTCCCTTAAAATGTCCTGCAGCAAGCGTGGCATAATGACAGTGGTCCCTAGTATATCATTCAGTGGCAAGTTACAGAACAGAAAATGCATTGGGTCATGCAAATTCTTCTCTGTTGAGATCAGATATATAAGTCCAATGTTTGATACCATTGTAAAGATATAAACCAAGAGAAGGAGGATGAAAACAGGCTGAGATGACTGAGGTGTAACTTTCAGTCCCTCCACGAGGAGAATACTGTTTGTGAATGTCAAGTTGTCCATTGGTTGCTGTACACACAATCTGCAAACATAATAACAAATAGACATTACTAACTACATATACTCTTAAACATATTACCTTACCTATTTGTGTAAAATGCACATTACAAATGAATAGCATTTCCCTGTTTCATATTTCCCTGTGCATGCCAAAACTGCATTGGCCTATACTGTTGTAATAATTTTTTTTTTTTAAATACAGTACATTGCTTGACACACAAACGTATATATATATATATATATATATATATAAAAGTGTAGATGAACAAAGGTAAATTTGTCTAATGTGAAGTAACAATCATCTTTATCAGTATTGAGTTTTACTTTATAAATGTAACAGTGGTATCTTGCCGCACTCTGCCTACGATCCTCCCAATAATGATTAGGTCAAACAGTACGACTTGTTATTGCCTTTTAATGTGTGGCTTATATTGTTTTCTGTGACATTGTCATAACCCCTTTGGGGGAGAAAAAACTATACATAGAATACGTTGCCATGAGCAGCGAGGCTGCTGATTGTGAGTGTTTATGGCAATAAGTGAAGTTACAACCTACTAATCCTGCAAAATGATTCATGATTCATGATGTAATATTTTTATAATTGTTTTTTCCCCCCCAGCATTTTAAAGTGGCGAAATCAGGACAGAACATATAAAGCCAAATGTGAAGCTTATTAAAATAATGTGAGGAATGAAGTGTTTGCACTAGTAAATAATGGGAGGTGTTTCCCATAAGTACCTATTTATAGTTCAAATGAAAACTAAAAACTGAATGCATTTATGATAACACCTTTAACTAGAGGACATCACAGAATTCGTACTCGGTTACTAACGTAACCTCGGTTCTCTCTAGAGAGGGAACGAGTATTGCGTAAGTTTAGCTTACGCTACGGGAAAGATTCATCTTCTCGAGATATTGAAGCCAAAAAATTATCCTTAATTTTGTATTCATGGTCAACGCAGTGCAGCAGCTAGCAGACCTAGAGCATGCAGTCTTGCATGCTCATTGGCTGCCCTGCGGGCATCTGCTGCAGCCTACCAGTGAGCCCCGCGTGACGTCACGCCCAATGAAGGGCGCCCGCGCCTTCATAGCGTCATAGCCCGCCAGAATGGGCGTGGCTTAGCGTATATAAGAAGGGGCTGTAGGCTGAATTCCCTGGTTTTCGTCGACTGAAGCGAAGTCGCTCGTGGCGCGAGCACGGCCGGTTACGCAATACTCGTTCCCTCTCTAGAGAGAACCGAGGTTACGTTAGTAACCGAGTACGTTCTCTTACGAGAGGTTCTCTCGTATTGCGTAAGTTTAGCTTACGCTACGGGAACTTTTTGTCAACGCCGTGCGCGCCAAGCAACCACCCATGAGTCGCCGAGGTTTCTCGGGTAGAGCACTGAGAGCACTGGTCTGTATAAGCATATAGCACATCCCTACTAGTGCAGCTCAACCAGGAGAGCTGAGTCACGTGAGAGTGGTCTGAGCATGATATATCTGGGCAGAACGCACAACTCGCTTAGACTGACAGAAGTTTAGCCTGCAGGGCGGGAACTTCTAGGTTATAGAACCTGACAAAGGTAGACGGGGAGCTCCAGCCCGCCGCTACACATATGTCGTGGATAGAAATCCCGCTGGACCAGGCCCACGATGAGGCCATGCCTCTAGTGGAATGAGCCCTGATGCCCAGAGGGCATTGCAGACCTTTTGACGCGTAAGCGGCCGCTATAGTGTCCACTATCCATCTGGACAGAGTCTGTTTCGAGGTAGCGAGACCTTTGGTGCGCCCACCAAACGAAACAAACAGCTGCTCCGTGCACCTGAAAGAGGCGGAGCGCATAGTGTAAAACCTCAGCGCCCTGACCGGCCAAAGGAGATTCACGTCTGTCTCACTGTCTGACGCTGGCAGAGCCGACAGTGAAATGACTTGCGCTCTGAAAGGAGTGCCCATCACTATTGGAACATAGCCATGTCTAGGTTTGAGGATGACTTTAGAGTCATTCGGCCCGAACTCAAGACACGTCGCGCTGATTGACAGCGCGTGCAGGTCCCCCACACGTTTGACTGATGACAGCGCGGTCAGAAAAACGTTTTTTAGTGATAGGTATTTTAACTCCACGGAGTCTAGTGGCTCAAATGGGAAGGCTTTCAGGGGGCCTCGAGGACCAAGGAAAGATCCCACATAGGAACCGACGGGGGGCGCGGCGGATTCATCCTTCTAGCTCCCCTAAGGAAGCGGATGACCAGCTCATGTCTTCCCAGTGACTGGCCGTGCGTCAATTCTGCGAACGCCGCCACATAAACTTTGAGCGTGGATGGGGACCTCCCTTTATCCATCAGCTCTTGTAGGAAAGTGAGCAGATGCGCAACCTCGCACGTCCGCGGGTCCATATCTCTGTCGGTGCACCACTTGGAGAACACCGACCATTTAGACGCGTAGAGCCTTCTCGTGGAAGGAGCTCTAGACTGCGTGATCGTGTTCATCACTCTTTCTGGCAGGGCAACGAGACCCGTTGATCAACCATGCGTGCAGAGACCAGCGCTCTGGATGGGGATGCCAGATCGAGCCGCGAGCCTGAGAGAGGAGATCTGCCCTCACCGGAATAGGCCACGGAGCTGCATGTGACAGCCGTGCTAGTTCCGGGAACCAATTCTGATTCTCCCAGTGCGGAGCTATGAGGAGCACCAAGTGGCGCGTTTCCCTGATTCTCTTGATCACCTGTGGTAACAGGGAGACCGGAGGGAAAGCATACAGTGGGAGGCTGGGCCAGACCTGGGCCAGCGCGTCCTCGTTCTTCGAAAAGAACATCGGGCAATGAGCGTTGTCTTTTGACGCAAATAGGTCGACTTCCGCTCTGCCGAATAGGCGCCACAGTTTCTGAACTGTTTGGGGGTGCAGGGACCATTCCCCAGGGGGAACGTTGTCCCTGGACAGTTTGTCTGGGCCGTCGTTCAAATGGCCAGGCACATGCGCCGCCCTCAGCGAGCGCAGGTGCATCTGGGACCAAATAAGGATGCGTTCCGTCAGATTGCAGAGGTTTCTGGATCTGACACCGCCCTGACGGTTTACATAGGAAACCACAGACATGTTGTCCGAGCGGACGATAACATGTTGGTTCTGTATGAACGGGAGGAAGCGCTTCAGCGCGTTCTCGACCGCTATCATTTCCAGACAGTTTATGTGAAAACACTTCTCTTGGTCTGACCACTGGCCAAAGGCCGGTCTGCCCTCGAACAGCACGCCCCAACCCGAGTTGGACGCGTCTGTCGAAATGACTTTCAGATAAGAGATGGTTCCCATCATCACTCCCTGCTGGTACCAGTCGGCTACTAACCAGGGCTGCAGAGCCGCTATGCAGGTCTGAGTCACTCTGATTTTCTGGCCGCCAGAAACCCAGGCTCGGCGAGACGCGCGAGCATTCAACCAGCGTTGGAGCGGGCGCATGCGCAGTAGGCCCAGCTGGAGCACCGCTGCCGCTGAAGCCATACAGCCCAGCATCCTTTGAAACGTTTTCAAAGGGAGAAAGCTGCCCTTCTGGAAAGACGCGACTAGGCGGCGAACACGTGTCGACAAACGAGCCGTCATGGCCACAGAATTCAGTTCTATTCCTAAAAAGGAAATTGACTGACTGGGCATTAATGAGCTCTTGGTCCAGTTGACCGTGAGACCCAAGCTTTCCAGGTGACTGAGAAGCACTGTTCTGTGAGATAACAGCTCCGTCTCTGACTGTGCCAATATCAGCCAATCGTCCAGATAGTTCATTATTCGCAGCCCCTGAGTTCTCAGGGGGGCGAGCGCCGCGTCCATGCACTTCGTAAATGTACGGGGTGATAGAGACAGGCCGAGTGGCAGGACGGTGTATTGATATACCTGACCGTCGAAGGCGAATTTCAAAAATTGCCTGTGACGGGGTAATATCTGAATCTGAATATAGGCATCCTTCAGATCTAGAGAAATAAACCAGTCCCTCGGGCGAACGTGCGCGAGGATTTTTCTGGTCGTAAGCATTTTGAACGGTCTTTTTGCAAGCACTTTGTTCAAATGTCTCAGATCTAGGATAGGTCTGAAAGCTCCGTCCTTCTTGGGTACGAGAAAATATCGGCTGTAAAAGCCTGACTCGCTCAGAGAAGCCCCTTTGCACAGCAGTTTTGCTATTTCTGCATGAAGTAGGTGTGCTACTTCCGCATTCACTATCGTCGCGGTCCGGGTTCGAAAGCGCGGGGGACGGCGAATGAATTGAAGTGTATAGCCCTGCTTTATTGTGCTCAGAACCCATTCTGAAATCCCTGGGATAGTTTCCCACGCAGCTATGTGAGCCGCTAAGAGGGCGAATGGCCTCCGGGTTCAGATCGCCGCCATTTGCGGGCTTGTGAAACTGAGCCGGAGCCGAAAGCGCGGTTCTGGGCAATGGCTGCTCGCTGAAAGCCGAGACCGTCTGATTTATGTGAGGTGTCCCAATCATAAGGGATGGGGAGCATTTTATTCTCACTTTTTGACGCGCGAGCAGCGCTTTGGGCGGAAAAGCTTTCTGTAAGCGTGAGCGCGTGTGCGTGGGCACGAGACTTACAAGTGTATTTAACAACCCGATCATAACGGATGGGGGGCGTCTTACCAATGCCCTGCGTTTTGTGATAACATTTAAACGCGCGGGCGGCGCCCGGGGGGAGGTGTGTGTTAGTAAGCGTGAACGCTCTCCGGCGGGCACAAGACTTACATTCATAACCTGTTTTATTGACCGTGTAACAGTGCGGGCAGATAGTGGGCACAGACCTGTGGACACATTTCTTATATTCAACACTCGAGCGGCTTTTCTGCCCTTTATGAGAGTGTGCTCTGTGAGTGACACGAGATTTGATGTGCTTGTGTGTAGGGGTGAACACTGGGGCGTGGGCACTTTCACTACACTGAAAACACCAACGGCGTGAGCCGGACCAGACTTTATACTCTTTATGAGATTTCTCTGGGTCGCCGTGAAAACGGCGTTTGTGTGCAGGCGAGAGGGTAAATGAACCGGCTCGTTGGCTGCCGAATGAACCACTGCAGTAGCTGTGACGGCTGAGCGCGACCTAGGGCGGCCGCCCTGGCGTCGCTGCGAAAGCTGAGGCTGTGCTGGACGCTGGGTGCTGGTTAACACCGGAGGCTGGCTCTGTCTCTCGCGAGAGCGGCCTGTGGCGGAGCTTGAGCGTCGCAGCAGGAAGAGGTTCATGGCCTGCGTGGTCTTCTGTACCTCAGAAAAACGGTCAACGATCCCGTTCACCGCTGGGCCGAAGAGACCAGTAGGGGAGAGCAGCGCGTTCAGGAAGGTGGCGCGCTCAGCCTCCCTCATATCCGCGAGCGTTAACCAGAGGTGCCTCTCTGTCACAGTCAACGCGGCCATGGCTCGTCCGATGGCTTGAGCTGCGGTCT